CCGTGGTCCGGAGCCGGTGCTGCACCCACAGCCCTGTGCCTCGCCAGCCTCCCCAGCGCCGCGGACCCGGAGCCGCTCCTTAGACGCTGATCGTCCTGGATGGGGCCGGGACTGCAGCCCCCGCCACGGAACTCCCACCCGAGCCGTCTGTCCACACTGCAGCCCTGCCCGGCCCTGCTGAGCCTGTGCTCTGTGAGGGGAAGGGCACGGGGGCGAGCTGGGCATGGGGAGGGCGGCGAGGACGGCCTGTAGCTCTGCCCTGGGCCAGGATTCTGCCCCTTGTCCTTTAAGGGGGAGGCAGGACACGCCGGGCACCCAGGGGAAGGACGCGCCGGGCGCCCACGGGAAGGACACGCCGGGCACCCAGGCTGGGGACGGAGGCGATGGTGAAATTCTCGCCCTCGGTGCATCCGGCCCCTGCGGCACCCCCAGCAGTCCTGCGAGGATCCAGTGCCCACGCCTGTCCCCCGCCACGTCCCGCTCGTGGGCCTCACCCTCTCCCTCCTCCCATCCCAAACTGGACGTCACTTTGCCCCCTGCCGTCCCCCAGGCTGTTCCTCCACCTCCTAGATCTCCCTTCCAAGCCGTCCCTCCTCTGCCAGCAGAGCGGCCGGCGCCTCCCCACGCGGGCGCCTCCCCACGCGGGGTCCCGGGCAGGAGACGGCTGTGCTGGGAGCGCGGAGAGCGGGCACAGGCCTGTCCGACGGCGCCCTCTGTCGGCCCGACCGGGAATGACCACCGCGGCCGGGTCCTGAGGTTGTGGCGCACGGGCAGGTGCACACTCAGACATGAACACACAGACGCGCATGTTCACGTGCACACGCACATGCGGCAACTCGCACACTCAGGCACATGCACACTCGGATGCGTGCACACACGTGCGTGCTCACCCACACTCAAAACACAGGGCTACACACTCATAAATACACAGACACTATACACTCCCACACACACTCAGACACAGGGCTACACACTCATAAATACACAGACACTATACACTCCCACACACACTCAGACACAGGGCCACACACTCATACACCGACACGCACGCTCCCACACACACACTCAGACACAGGGCCACACACACACAGACACAAGCTCCCACACTCAAACTCAGGGCTACACACTCATACACAGACACGCTCCCACACACACTCAGACACAGGGTCACACACTCATAAATGCACACACGGACACATACATGCTCCCACACGCAGCCCCAGCCGGCCAGAGCCCCTGCTTCCAGGGCACGAGGGCGCCGAGGAGAGGTGCTGTGGGCCTGCTGCGTCCTCTTGGCTTTCAGCTGCCCGCAGGGCTCCAACCTAGCAGCAGAGTGGTTTGTCGGGCCCCAGAACAGTAGTGAGGGCCTGGGTCACCCTGGGGGTGGCACAAGAACTGCCTGGGGCTTCAGAAAATCCAGACTCAGAAATGGGAGCTCCTCGTGGGCCAGCGTCAGGATCTGAGGTGGGTGGGCTTCGGGAGCCGGGTCTGATGCGGCACTGACAGCACGTCCTGCCTTCTAGCAAGGTCCCAGGCGGCAAGCACCAAGCACCAGGACCAGGAGCCTGTGTGCGGCTGGGGGTCTCCTGCCCCAGGCTGTCCTGTGCTGACCTGCACAGAGGCCTCCAGGCTCAGAATCCACCCAAGCAGGCCCTGACGCTCCCTCCGCAAATGACCGCAGGGCCTGGACGCTCCTCCCCAGCCTTCCCAGGCAGGTTCCCTCTCATTCCCGCCCACGTCCCAGCCCCTCTGCCCCAGCCCATGGCAGGACTGCCACCCAAGCCTGGAGCTGACCTGGCCGAAGCAGAGTCAGCAGCTGTGGCCGCACAGCTCATGGAAGAAGGAGCCAGCACATGGGTGAATGGATGAGCAGGCTCTGCCACCAGCACTCACTCTGCGGCCGAGGAGCCTCCATCCCATGGTGCATCTTACTCCAGACCACGGGGCTCCCACAGCTCCTGCACCAAGATGCCGCAGAGCTGCCCCACAGGGTGCGGAGGGCATCCGGGCCTGTCTGCAGCGACAGCAACGTGCAGACCCCACCATCCCCTCTGCTGGAGCTGGAGAACAGGCAAACCACCCACAAACTCCCGGACTCCCGACCGTCTCGGGTCCCAACATCCGCCTGACAAAAGGCCTGCGAAGTGGCACCAGAAGCCGCTGGGCGGGAAGGGGATGGGCCTGCCTGCTGTGCCTGGGCCTGTGCCCCCACATCCCACATGACAGCCTCCCCCGGCCTCCACTCTGCAAGGAAGTGACAGAAACTTGACAGAATCCAGAGGGCCTAGGAACCTTGGTCCTGCAGGACTGTGCAGCCCAAGGGGCGGCCCGCACTGCCCACCTAGTCCTGTATCCCTTCCGGGTTCTCCACTCCAGTTCCCTGGGCAGGGCTGCCTCCTGGCTCTCAGAGATTTTACAGCTGGCTGTGGTTGTTAGACGGTGCTAACTGGTTGGGCACCGTGGTTCATGCCTGTGATCCCAACACTCTGGGAAGCCATGGTGACAGGATCACTTGAGCCCAGGAGTTCAAGGCCAGCCTGGGCAACACAGCGAGAGCTGGGCGTGGTGGTGTGCACCTGTGGTTCCAGCTGCTTGGGAGGCTGAGGTGGGACGATCGACTGGAGTCAGGGAAGTTGAGGCTGCAGTGAGCTGTGATTGTGCCACTGCGTTCCAGCCTGGGTGATGGAGCAAGACCCTGTCTCCAAAAAAAATAATAATAATAAAAGTTGGCTGGGGCCAGGCGTGGTGGCTCACGCCTGCAATCCTGGTACTTTGGGAGGCCGAGGCAGGTGGATCACCTGAGGTCAGGAGTTTGCGGCCAGCCTGGCCAACATAGTGAAACCCCATCTCTACTAAAAATACAAACATTAGCCTGGCGTGGTGACAGGCACCTGTAATCCCAGCTACTTGGGAGGCTGAGGCAGGAGAATCTCTTGAACCTGAGAGGTAGAGTTTGCAGTGAGCCGAGATCAAGCCACTGCATTCCAACCTGGGGGATAGAGTGAGCCTCTGTCTCCAAAAAATAAATAAAATAAAAATAAAAGGTGCTAAGTGCACACTCATGCTCATAGGTCCATCAGTGGGTGAACAGATACACAAAACATGGCTTATCCACACAGTATTTTATTCAGCCTTAAAAATGAGAAAAATGCTGACACTTGCTGCAAAACGAACAAAACCGGAGGACGCTCTGCTGAGTGAAATAAGCCAGACGCAGGCAAACCCAGCAGCCCTCCACTCGCACTGGTCCCCAGAGCAGCCACACTTCAAGTCGAGACACAAAGTGGAATGGGGCTGCCGGGGCTTGGGGAGAGCAACGGGGAGCTAGCGTTTAATGAGCACAGAGCTTTGGTTTGGGAAGATGAGAAAGTTCTGAAGGCGGAGGGTGGCGGTGGCTGCACAACACAAATGTACCTAATGCCACAGAACCGTGCACTTAAAAATGGCTAAAATGGTGAATTTTATGTTATGTGGATGTAGGCAAGAGGAGGAGGAGAGAGAGAGGAATTCATTCACAATGCACGGACCCCATCTCTGAACTCAGCCGAAGGTAGTTTCCTGGGCGTGGCTTCCCGGTCTCCAGACAGCAACTGCCAGGCTTCTGGAAGCCCCTCCTTCCCCGAGACCCCCCAGCGGCGTCCAGCAGGGCCGTCCCCAAGCCTCTGTGGGGGTGATGCTCTGGGCTGTACCCATGGTGCCACAGGGCTAGGGCTGACCGAACCTGATGGTGCCACAGGGCTAGGGCTGACCGAAACTGATGGTGCCACAGGGCTAGGGCTGACCGAAACTGATGGTGCCACAGGGCTAGGGCTGACCGAAACTGATGGTGCCACAGGGCTAGGGCTGACCGAAACTGATGGTGCCACAGGGCTAGGGCTGACCGAAACTGATGGTGCCACAGGGTTAGGTCTGACGGAAACTGATGGTGCCACAGGGCTAGGGCTGACCGAAACTGGGGAGATTGTAGGGGAACATTTGTGCTCAAGTGCAAAATTCCACCTTGTCTTTCCACAGCACACCTGGGCTGTCTGACTCCATGGGGGCCCCACATCTTGGGAAAGCTGATAGCAGGTGGACAGCTGATAGCAGGGCACATCGCTGTCATCTGAGACACTCAGGACCCCTGCCGGCAAAGGAACCCCAAAACCCAGCCTGGCTCTGCTGGCACACTCATTTCAACACTCCCAGCCTACGAGTCTGTTCCTGGGGTTCTCCTTTGACCTGGTTCCAACGTGTTACAGGTTTCCTCAAGAATTAGTTATAAAAAGTCTTTAACATGGTGTTCACTCTTAAAAAACAAAGGTGTTAAATGAAGCAACAGTCTTCTTTTTGAATAGTTTAATAGTTGCTATTTAAATAAGGCTTTGGCGTGCTTTTCCACATTTTTAGGTTTTTTTCTTTACGTGTACACCTTGCAAGATGTATCATTAACTCATGAAACCACCAGCTCGTCAGGCAATGAAAAGGGAGGTTGAAAAAACGCCAGAGGCCGGGCGCGGTGGCTCACGCCTGTAATCCCAGCACTTTGGGAGGCCGAGGCAGGCGGACCACGCGGTCAGGAGAACAAGGCCATCCTGACTAACACTGCGAAATCCCGTCTCTACTAAAAAATACAAAACAAAATTAGCCGGGCGTAATGGCGGCGCCTGTAGTCCCAGCTACATGGGAGGCTGAGGCAGGATGAAGCAGGAGAATGGCGTGAACACGGGAGGCGGAGCTTGCAGTGAGCAGAGATGGCGCCACTCACTCCAGCCTGGGCGACAGAGCGAGACTCCGTCTAAAAAAAAAAAAGAAAGAGAAAGGACAGAGAGAGAGGGAGGGAGGGAGGGAGGGAGAGAGAGAGAAGAAGAAAGGGAAGGGAAGGAAAGGAAGGAAGGAAGGAAGGGAGGAAGGGAAGGGAGGAAGGGAGGAAGGGAAGGGAGGAAGGGAAGGAAGGAAAGGAAGGAAGGAAGGGAAGGAAGGGAAGGAAGGAAGGGAGGAAGGGAAGGGAAGGAAGGGAAGGAAGGGAAGGAAGGAAGGGAAGGAAGGAAGGGAGGAAGGGAAGGGAGGAAGGGAAGGAAGGAAGGAAGGAAGCCAGAAAGGTGGGTCTGTGTGTTCTGGTGCATGGGGCCCACCCCCGAGGAAGGTGCCAACCGTCCCTGGAGAGCAGAATCACCAGGCCTGGGAAAGCCATGCGGGTTCGAGAGCCTGTGCCACGGCAATGCTGGGCAGGGCCCAAGGGGTGCCCAGGCATCTGCCCACTGAGAACACTGCTAGTGTGGAGGGATCCACAGGAGGAGAGAGCGGCGCCAGGGTCCCAGAGATGGGCCAGGGTCTCTAACCCGCCACCCACCCACGCCCTGGGAGTCTCTGTCAGGCTACTGGGAGACGCAGTGACTCTGAAGTCGTGTCTCGAGGGTGGCTACCTGGGGAGGCTGAGCAGAGTCTGGAGACATTTCTGGCTGTTGTCTGACTGGGAGGAGGGAGGGTAGGTGCTGCTGGCAAGGGGTGGGTGGAGGCCAGGGATGCCTTTAAGCATCCTACAGCGCACAGGGCGGGTCCTCCAGAGACACAGCAAAGTGGGCTGGGGTTGGGGAGGCTGCAGCCTGGTGCCGGCCTCACATTGGCAGGCGGGCGCTGCAGGAGGCTTGCGGAGAGCATGGCGGCTGCAGGAGGCTTGGAGGGACCCACAGCAGCCACGGGAGGCTTGGCGGGACCCACGGCACTGTGGGAGGCTTGGCGGGACCCACGGCACTGTGGGAGGCTTGGCGAGACCACGCGGAACAGATCGTGGTGGGAATGAGGCTGCGCCTACTAACAATAACTCCACTCACCCTAACGGCCACACCAGCCTGTGAGGAAGACAGGGCCGAGCCCGCTGGCAGGTGGGGAAACTGAGGCCCAGAGAGCAGTGAGCCTGGTCTGGACCCAGGCCCACCCCACCCTCCCGCCAGCTGGTGTGGACTCTCCTTAAGGAGCTTCAGGCTCTACAGTGGTTTGCGTTCCTCTCTGCTCATGCGTCTGACATGGAGTGACCAAGTCCCACACACTGAGTCCCCTCTGTCCCGGGGCTGCTGGTGCCTGGGTCCTCGGAGAGGCTGTGGGGTTGGAAGCTAGAGGTCCTCGTGGGTGGAGCTCAGGTCCACCCTCTGGGCCTGTCCAAATACCAGGAAGGTGCACAGCCCCAGGCTGCTGATGATGGCCACAAGGTTGAACAGGCAGGTCCAGGAGCCTGTGGTCTCGATCAAGTAGCCGCCCAGACACACACCCACGACACCTGCCCAAGAGAGGCCCAGGCGGGCTGAGCATTCCCAGGCAGCCCAGGCCCCACGCCCACCCTAGGTCCCAGGGTAGTGCCGGGGAAGGGCTGGGGGTCTAGCGCCTGATAGAAGCCCCCATGGTTCCCAGGGCTGAATTCGGTGTCCCAGCTGTGGGTCAGGCTCAGACTTGGAGGGTGTTGGAGGGGCAGAGATCTCAAAGGCCATCCAGGAAATGGCCTGGTAATGAGTCCCCCTTGTCCCGCTGAAGGGGAAATGGGAACCACAGGCCGACCCAGGCGAGGCTAAGCTGGAGAAGGAGCCCCCACCATCCAAGGCACTCAGCAGGGCCAGGCTGTGTCCCGGGGACCCTGGGCTACCAGGATTGGAACGTATTTGTGAGTCAGGGCAGATGGCGACCCTTGAGCCACCTGCTGTCAGCAAAGTCCAGTGGAACCTGGAAGGCAGCCACATCCTCCTCTCCTGGGCCTGCTCTGGGGTCTGTGCCCTCCCCTGACACCGGGACCCCCTCTGAAGGGAAGCACACCCCCACCCTGCAGCACCTCGGTGGGCTCAAACCCCACAGACAGGCAAACTCCTGGGCACAGAGCCCCGCCCCTCACCTGCCAAGGCCCCAGCTGTGTTGGCCACACCTGTGAACAGGCCGGAGCGAGAGAGAATACGGACGGTCAGCGAAAGCCCTCTGGGATCTCCCAAGGCCCACCCACCCGGAGGCCCAGGGAGAGGCAAAGCTGGGGTGGGCAAGGTCCTCACCAAACAGAAAGCCGGCGCAGGACGGGGCCAAGTCCTGGATGTTAACGGAAATGCCACTGCGGGGAGGAAAGAGGGTGGTGAGCGGCCCTGGCCACCACCGAGCTTGCGGCCCAGGGCTGTCAAGGGGGAAGCGGGGAAACAAGGTCTAGTGGAGCCACGGGAGGGGCTGGGAGACACTCAGGCCTGCTCCCTGGCCAAAACACTCCAGCCCTGCACACCACGCCAAGCCGAGCCCCAGCCGCCCGTCTTCATGGAGGACCTGGTGCAGGAAGCGTCTCCTGAGAGTAAAGCACTGTGGGGAAAGCACGTTCGCACCAATCACGCACACGTGCTGCTCACTGATGGGAAGTGCTGGTTCCTATTGAGTCTTCGATGCAGTAGCTGCCCAGCAGCTTGGGAAGGGGGTGAAGTGTGAGGAAGAGACTCAGAGAGAGGCGGCAGAGACCCCTCTTCACATGCGCGGCCCTGGGGCATGCGGGCAGCATGGTGGCTCTGGTGGATGGAGCAGTCCGCCCTCACCTGTGGTTGAAGGTCTGGAGGCCGATGGAGGCTGATGCAAACACCACAGACTCACAGAAGCTGGAGGTGTGGCCCAGGCACAGAGCAAAGACGCTTGAGAGGCCAAGGCCCATGCCCTGCAGGAAAGCACCACTGTGACGGGCAGGCACCCGGCCTGCCTGCAGCTGGGCCCTCTCCTGACTCGGCCGCCCGACAGCTGCCCTGGGCACACTGCACAAGGGTCAGGTCAGCTGGGACCGAAAACTTCTCTCGGACCAGGACCCCTAGAGGAGATCTGGGAGGAGGCTCCCCAAGAATCAGCCCCGCTCCACGGAGAGGCCCTATTCGACGTGGGCAAGCCCAGGCCTGGGCCCAGAGGGGCACAGGATGCTGACCCCAGCCTGCCCCCCAACAGCTGTCTAAACAGCCCCCTCTGGACCCCGGGGCTGGACACGTGGAGAGGCCTGGCATTTGCCTGGTCCCAGACATCAGGGGACTTGGGGACACAAGCCTGTGGTCCTGGGAGACCCTGAACAAAGCAGGGATATCCAGAAAGAATGACTGGAATGATTCTCCTACCTGCATGAACTTCCGCACCGTGATGGCTCTGTAACCTGCAGGGGAGGGACGGCCGTGTAACCTACAGGGGAGGGACGGCCGTGTAACCTGCAGGGGAGGGACGGCCGTGTAACCTGCAGGGGAGGGACGGCCGTGTAACCTGCAGGGGAGGGACGGCCGTGTAACCTGCAGGGGAGGGACGGCCGTGTAACCTGCAGGGGAGGGACGGCCGTGTAACCTGCAGGGGAGGGAGGCCGGTGACTGCAGGGGGGGGGGGGGAGGGGGGGGCGGGTGTAACCTGCAGGGGAGGGACGGCCGTGGTGTAACCTGCAGGGGGAGGGACGGCCGTGGTGTAACCTGCAGGGGAGGGACGGCCGTGTAACCTGCAGGGGAGGGACGGCCGTGGTGTAACCTGCAGGGGAGGGACGGCCGTGGTGTAACCTACAGGGGAGGGACGGCCGTGTAACCTGCAGGGGAGGACGGCCGGCCGGGGGGAGGACGGCCGTGTAACCGCAGGGGGAGGGACGGCCGTGGTGTAACCTGCAGGGGAGGGCGGCCGTGTAACCTAGGCAGGCCCGGAGCAGGGAGCGGCCTCACCAGGTGTAACCAGACAGCGTGCGCAGGGAGACGGCCGTGGCTAACCTGCAGGGGAGGACGGCCGTGAACGCGGGAACGGCCGATGGTGTAACCTGCAGGGAGGACGGCCGTGGGTAACCTCAGGGAGACGGTGAACCTCAGGGGAGGCCGTCCGTGTAACCTCAGGGAGGACCGACGAGGGGAGGACGGCCGTGTGTAACCTGCAGGGGAGGGACCGGGCCGGGGGAGGTTGTAACCTGCAGGGGGCAGGGAGGGCCTGTAACCTGCAGGGAGGACGGCCGTGTAACCTAGCAGGGGGGGCTTGTAACCTACAGGGGGAGGCCGAGGAAGGGGCTCCCATTAGGCCTTTCATGCTGACACCCCAGACAGCGCCCAGAGGGGTCCCATCCTGAACAGCTGCAGAGGGGCAGCAGGGGAGGAGGAGGCTTGGGGCTCAAGACAGCTATCCTGTGCTGTGGGCAAAAACGTGTGCACACACGTGTGTGGCACAGCTATGAGGCAGCGCCTGTGCCCTTGGAAGCTTCCCAAGGCGGGGGTCTGGGCAGAAACACAGAACAGCACACAGCAGTTACAGAGGTGGAAACAGGCGAGTGGCCCCACTTCCTCTGCTGCTCCAGATTTTCTAACTTTTCCACAACGCGTGTGTATTCCTTTTGCAATTAGGAAAAACACGAATGTTCTAGGAATAGGCATACGTGTGTGGAGAGAGCATGTGGGCACGCGTGTGCACCTGCCTGCACCTGTCTGTGAGGACATTGCGCTAGGGGAAGAAACACGCAGCCCACTTGGGGCTCATCCCAGCATGGGTCTGGAGCACATGGAACAAAGACAGAAGCTCTTCCAAAGGTTCAAGGATGTTTGCAACCTCTGGCCCCACCAGGTGCCTTCCCAGAGGGTCAGGGGCTGCATCTGGCCCCCAGGGGCGAGCTCCACGGTCACCGTGAGACCAGACCCTCTCACCACAGTCTAACCCCACCCTTTAAGGAGGAGGCCGAGCCTGGAAAGAAGTGCCCCTCTGTCCCAGCTCTCCATGTGCTGAAGCTGCACCCCCAGGAGAAGAGCATCTTGCCCCTTGAAAGTGAGGCGAATCAGGGTGTGGCCCCCGGCCCCGGTCCCCGCCCCAGGGCTCACCCTGATTGATGAGATGATCAGAGAGAAACCCGCTGAATAGACTGGCAGGAATCGCCACCAACCAAGGCACCACGTTGAAGATCCAACCCTGCAGGGGGGAGTGTGGCCTCAGAGGGGGCCAGGGCTAGCACCCGGCCATCTGGAAGAGGATACTCAGGCTGGACAGCCCCCACATGCCCACCGCTGCCCAGGAAAGTTCTCCGCAGGGCCAGCCCTGCTCCTGGGAATGCGCAGCTCTGGAGTCGACCACCACCCGGGGGTGCAGCAAGACAATCTCAGAGAAGGAACCGTACTGACCGCAGGTGACCCCTCTGTCCACATCCCGGGTCCTGCACCGGCCTCCTCGGGCCCTGAAGTCGGGCTCTGCAGGCCAGCAGGTCACCGGTGAGGGCTGGGAGGGCTGCAGCCACAGCCGGAAGGCACCGAGCGCCCACATCGTTTCCAGCCTCAAACACAGAAACCTGCCCCGAGCGTGGACTGGGTCCTCTCCAGAGGAAAAGCCTGGCGGTGCCAGGACCCTCGGAGCCCAGGAGGAGCCGAGGGTTCCACCATCTGCAGGCCAAGGACCCGCGGTGCCTGGTGCAGCTCAAGCCTCGTGCCTTCTGGGCGCTCCTTCACCCTGTAGGAGCCCCCCACTCACCTTGGCGTCGGGGAAGGTCTCCTTGAAGAAGGTGGGCAGCCAGGAGATGAGGACGAAGAAGGAGCAGGCTGCAGAGAGCTGGGAGATGACGGCTGCCCTGCGGGGCCCAACGGTGGACCATGACTCTGGTGCTGCGCAAGCTGGCCGGGCCTGTGGGACCCACCCTGAGAGACCTCCCCTGGGGGCTAGAGTCCCACCTCTCTGAGCCCTAGGCCCTGCTGGCTTGGGGGCTGTCAGATCCAGCCAGGTTCACACCCCCATGGTCACCGGCCCTGCCGCTGCTCCAAGGGGCGGCACAGGTCCCAGCTCACCAGACAGCAGGCTTCCGGAAGAGCCGTCTCCAGGGGACTCTGTTGTGCCTGGACACCGGCAGGCCTTGGGCCAGGACTCCCAAGGCCAGGACGAGATCTGAGGGAGCAATGGTTTCAAAGTGATGGCTATCAGGGCGGGAGGTGCCGTCTATTTCCAAAGGATTGGGTATTGGGGGTGGTTCCAGAGGGTCAGCAGCCCTCGTCCACACCTCAGGCTGCACACGGGCGCCGGCCTCCCGCTCACCCCTCAGGCTGCACACGGGCGCGGCCTCCCGCTCACCCCTCAGGCTGCACACGGGCGCCGGCCTCCCGCTCACCCCTCAGGCTGCACACGGGCGCTGGCCTCCCGTGGCCTTCCCTACCAGGCACCTAACCGCGCTCTGAACGACCCTCCCCACAGCCTCCTCCAGAGCCCCCTCCTGGCCACCCAAAGACTCGGCTGCTCCTGCACCCTGCCTTGACCTGCCCAGCAGGTCTCCCTGGGTGTCTGCCTTAGCCCTAGATGGAACCTTCTAGACCGAATTAGGTGGCAGAGCCGCTGACAGCTCAGCACCTGAGCACTCTGCCTCACTGGTGGATTCTTTGAGAGGTCAAGGCCGCTGTCTCCGGGCTCCTGCTCCAGGCTGCTCAGTGGCTGCCACCAAGGGAGGAGGCACTGGGCAGCCGTGGGTGCCCGGAACTAGCCCGCCCGGCCTGCGTTACCTTTTCCACTCAGCAGGTACCTGTACACGTACCACACCCAAAGCAAGGTGAGGCCGCCGGAGAAATAGAAGACGCTCTGCCAGCCGTACCATTCCAGGAGCAGGGAGCCCACTGCCCCGGTCAGCAGCGTCCTGCAAAGACAGGGGGAGCGTGGCCAGGCCCCTCAGCGGCACCCCTCGGGCGAGGAGGGGCCTCTCAGAAACCCCACCTTGGTGCAGGCTGAGCCCCTGGAAAAGGGTGTTTTCATGGCCTTCAGAGCGGCAGCTCAGAGCCCCCATCCCGGCCTGTTTGGTTAAGGACTCCGGACACTCGGGGCCAGTGGGGCCAGTCGGGCGGCTGCTGTGGAACTCATGTTGTTTTTCACATCTTGCTTCTAGGCCTTCACATTGGCCTACAATTTGTCATGTGGATCCTTTTCAACTAAAAACGGCACCGAGGAGGAGACGGTGATGAGACTATACTACAGTGAAACTCCACACGGATTTTGTGCTTCAAACCTCATTGAGGATAAAATTCACAAAGATTTCTAGATGCAAAAATACCACGACGGCCAAATCCAACAGCCCCCATCCCCTGTCCCCATGATCTCATTGTCCCAAATAGCTCCTCAGAGGCTCCTTCTGGGTGCAACCTGGCTGGTAGCCCAGCCCCCATCTGCCGCAGAGACCCCTCCGCTGGCACCTGCGGGAACAGTTAATATCATGGCAAAAGGAGGAAGAGAGAGACCCAAAGCCGGGCCTGGCATCCAGATGGGGCCTCTTTCCTCCCGCTGAGCCTCTGCGGGGTGGACACAGCTCCTGCGGCAGCAGGGCTTGGCCTTGGGCGCCAGGGCGGGCTGGGGTAGCACTCTTCCTGCCCCTTCCAGTCCACGCTTGACCCTCTCTCTGTTCCCCACCTGCGTGCAGAAAAACCGCAGGACACCCAAAGAAACCAGGTTTTGGAGAAGTGAGGATTCATTCTTTTAGTAGAAGTATATCCCCTCTGGTTTATCTGAAATTCACGTTCCTCTGGGCAGTCTGTTTTTATTTCATGAATCTGGTCACCCTGGGCCTGCCTGGGGCTGCTCCTGGCCCCACCTACAGGGGCCGCCTCCGCACTCTGAACCTCAGCAACAGTAACATGAGGGCCCGAGCCCAGCGACTGGGAAGCCCCTGCCAGCTCCTGCACCTATCCACCCTGCTACAACCATTGGGAAGGTCTCCCACCCCAGGCCTGGCCTTGATCCAGGTTGCCAGCATCGCTAGAGGGTCTGGAGCTGCCCAAGGAGTGGGCACTGGGAAGGAGGACCGATGGGCACAGGGTTACTGCCTTGTGGATGAGGACAAGCCGCCCTCCAGCCAGCTGATAGCCCACCCAGGGCTCACAGACTCTCCTGTGCTCCAGGGCTCACAGACTCTCCTGTCGGGGGTGGGGGCCAGCAGAGGGTGGGGATGGCATCTGGCTTCGTTAGCACAGATGAAAGAAAATGAGAGGATATGGCCACTCCCCCAACCCCTGTCCCCAAGTCCCAGCCTCATCACCTGCCAGCCACTCCAGAAAGGCAGAAATACGCACAAAGCAAGCGAGGTGCCCGGGGCTGGCACCTGCAGAGCACAGCCTTGGGCTACAGAGCCCAAAAGGCGCCTGCCGGACCCACCTCACCCATGGTGGCCCTGCAGGCCCATGTGGCCCATCCGACACCCAGACCAGGGGCCACTTGGCAAGGGGCTCATCTGGTGGCCTCTCCTGGGCCCTGTCTGAGGCCAGGACTTACCCAAACTGGGAGCCGGCGCCCACGGTGCTGTAGGTGAAGGCTCGCTCACTGTCCCGCACCTTCTGCGACAGCAGGCTGGTCAGGGCGGGGAAGTAAACCCCTGCAACGAGTGGAGGGAGAGTCTCTCGGGGTCCAGCCAGGGAGGCTCATCCCGGCCCATCTGCTCAGGTTTGGGCTGTGATTCCAGAGGACGTCCACCTGTCCCTCTCGCTCACCTCGCCCACCCAAGGGACCAGCAGGGCAGGGTTTTTTGTGCCACTGAGGAAACAGACTCCTTTTGGGCGAGGCTCGCTCAGGGTCGTGCCACCCGCATAGCTGCGGGAAACACCCCTACTTTGAAGCCAGCCCTCCCACCCCACGCACACGCACACGCACACGCACATGTGCACACTCTCACCGCCGGCCTCCAGCTGTGCTCTACAGAGTCCTGGCACCAACACACACACACGCGGCATGTGCACACGCACCTGCACACGCACGGGTCCACCAGCACACCACTTCTCGGCAGTGCTGCACGGTGCTCACACTGACGCAGATACACGCATACGCACGAAGATACACACCTGCATGCACAGAAACCTGCCGCACGCGTGCACAGACACATACTTCCCCCACGAAACCTGCCTTTCCCTGTTGTATTAACTGAGCTTCCTCCCGGGATTTCTTTTGGACCAAGTGTTCTCGGCCGCTTTAGAAGTTTGGAAACCACCTTACCACCCCATGCGGCCCCACAGCCAGAGGGCCCTGAGCCTGGCCCTGTGAGGGGAGGCACCACGGAGCCACCGTGACAACAGAAGCTTGTCCCCCAAACCCATGGGCCCTGTCTACAAGGCACTGATGCTACCCTGCAGGAGGGCATCGTCAAACAGACGGCCACACACAGGAAGCGCCTGCCTGGCTAGTGCCTGTAACTTCTAATCACAGAGCGCTCACTCACAGGCTCATGGCTCAGAGGCAGGGCCCATCCCTCACTCCCTCAAGGGAGGCTGGGGGCCGCCTGGCAGGGCTCCATGGGGTTTCCTCCAGAAGTCCGATACCCCACAGCGAGAGCCACAAGTCTTGGGACACCCGGCGTCTCTACTCTGCCCGAGGACAGTGTGCACAAACACGGCAAAGCCAGCCGCAGGTGGTGCCCATGGTTACCATGCGGCCGCCATTGCTGCCCCCCAGACCCCCAGAGTAGGCTTGTGGGCACAGGATGACATCTGACATTGAGACGTGCCAGACTTTGAAGTTTTCTAGAAAACGGAATGTGCCACAGGTGCCAAATCATCATAGCATAACAAGCTGACCCCTGCAGAGGAAGCGCAGCTGGAGCTGGCAGCGAGCCCACAGGGTCTGGCTGCCTGCTGGGTCCTCAGAGCTGCCCACGAGGACAGCTGCCTGCCCCAGGGCCGAGGGTCTTCTCAGTGACACCTAGGAGGCATTGGTCAGCCCAGTCTGAGGCAGTGCCACTGTTTTCTTCACAGCTTCAGCCTTGGGACCCTCCTCCCTCACCCCAAAGACCCTCCAGTAAACAAAGATGAGGGCCCCCACCCCCCGACAGGCCTGTCCTCCCCTCCAGGTGGTTGCGATTCGTTCGTTCCTCCCCTCCTCCTCCAGCTCCTGCAGTGGGACCTGGGCAGTGCCTGGGGAGGTGGTGATGCTGGAGGGTCTGGCTCTGGGATGGGGTCTCACAGTAAACACACAATCCTAAGTCCTCAGTCGCACTCACTGCACCCTCTTCTGAAGGTGGGCCATGCACAGGGCCCGGTGGGCACTGGTGGTAGGGCCCTTGTTCTCATGTGAGACCCTGTGACCATGACAGTGGCCTCTCTCCTGGGCAGACCCCCTTCCTCTGTTACAGAGAGAGTCCCAGGCAGCACCTTCCAGGCGTCACCTTGGGGAGTGAGGGTGTGGAGAGGGAGGAGAAAGAGATCTGGGAGTGAACTCCCCAAAGTCTCTGGACTTGGGGGAGAGGTAGGGCAGAGGTTCTAGGGGAGCCATGGCCAGGGATCTGAACCTGAGGCCGGCTCAGGAAGGTAGGGGGAGTCCTCAGTGGGGAGTCTGGATGGCCCAGGACACTGGGGGAGGAGTAGCCCGGCCGGGAACTGCCAATGGATGGGGCAGCCAGGCAGGCTGGGGTGGGGCAGGCAGGCCCCTGCAGGCTGGAGGCCTAACTGTTTCTCCAGGGGACCTCAGACAAGTAGGGGCCCCCAAAACCCCCTTGGCCCCTCACCCACCTTGTTCTCCTGACAATTAAGGCGCTCCAAGGCCCTAGTATTGGAGGCATCATCGGCATACATGTGACCAAAATTCACAAAACCCAGAGTCCCACAGCAGGTTCCTTGCAGCTGGAATCCACCACTGAACTAAGGTGTTTGGTAACAAAATTCAGGGGCAGGAGCAAGTTCACTACGCAGGTGTCCCCTGTGACCCTGTGTGTCACTGCAGAGTGTGCACTTACAGAAGGCACATGCATGGCCACACATACACCTGCATACGGGCACGCTCACGCACGTACACACGCATATGGGCATGCACACTACCTGCACACACACGTGCACACTCACACGTGTGCATGCACACATATGTACACACAAGCACAAGCACACACATACGTGCATACTGCTTGCACACACGTGTCTGCAGGGACATATGCACTTGCACACGCACACACACTGGTGTACGCATGCACGCAGGCATACCCATACACACACACTTGTACACCACCTGCATGCACGCGTGCACCTGCACACACATCCGTGCACACTCCCCTTGTCTCCCCACCTGGTGCCAGAGAGCGTGAGGGAAGCGCCTGAGTGCCCCTTACCTTGGAGCAAGCCCATGAGGATGCGTGAGAAGGTCATGAAGGCCAGGTGGGCACTGCTCAGCTGAGCGAGCAGCGGGGTGACGGCTGTGATGGAGCCCCAGGCAGAGGCTGACAGCAGGATGACCTTCTCACCCCCAATCCTGGAGGGGAGACAGAAGGCGGTGAGGATGTGGCTGCGCAGGACCAAGGAGCACCACCCTGACTCAGGGCTGCCCTCGAGTGGGTGCTCGGAGATGGGCCTGGCTTATCTGCCTCTACAGGGCCTGCTCATGACCCCAGAGCTGCCTCGTGAGGAGACCAGGTACTCCAGGGGAGCCGCCTGCCTCCTCTGCGGCCTTGTCACGCCTGGCCTCTCCCCTCCCAGCTCCCATCTTCCCCTGGGTGTGTCTTCTGCCCAAATGTATCCACCAAGCTCCTTCCCCGGGAATTGCATCCTCTGTGTGCAGCAGCACAGCCTCTGGAGGCCCCAGGGGAGCAGCCCCCACCAGCCTGGAGACGGGGAAGGGGCAGTTACCGGTCCCCGAGGTGGCCGCCCACAGCACAGCCAGCCCACTGGCCTCTGGAGGCCCCAGGGGAGCAGCCCCCACCAGCCTGGAGACGGGGAAGGGGCAGTTACCGGTCCCCGAGGTGGCCGCCCACAGCACAGCCAGCCCACTGGCCTCTGGAGGCCCCAGGGGAGCAGCCCCCACCAGCCTGGAGACGGGGAAGGGGCAGTTACCGGTCCCCGAGGTGGCCGCCCACAACCTGCGTCAGGCAGTAGCCCCAGAAGAAGCTGCTGAGTACGATGCCGGCCTCCTTCTTATTCCAGCCGAAGTCCTGGCTCATGGAGACAGTGCAGATGGGCATGCTGGAGCGGGCGCAGTAGAGCAGGCACGTGCCCAGCAGCAGCGTCCCTGTCCATGCCTGGCACTCGGGCCTGAGGGAGAGGAGATGGTCAGGCCCTGGGGAGGCCCCACAGCCCTGCTGCTTCGAGTTCATCACTCAGAGACCTCCCCCAGAGCTGGGGGATGTGGGACTGAATGGAGACAGCTTCGATGGAAGGCAACTTGGCAAGCATTCAAACGCCTAATCACACCTGTCTGCTGACCCCTGGGAGGACACAGGCAGCCAGAAATGAGGCACAGTGACGGCTGGGAGCAGCCGAGTGGCCAGCACTCAGGCAGGTCACAGCAACAACTCATCCCCACAAAAGGTGCCTGGGCTGGGCTCCGCTTATTCCCCACGATGGGCGACCAGGCCACCAGGCCCCCAAAGCCAAGGACCAGTAGTACGTGGTGCCACATTCTCAAGCCTCCCTCGGCCCAGGCAAGCACCAGACAGGCACCAGGCAGGAATGATGGCTGAGAGCCCACTGACTGTAGGGGTGGGGTGTGGTGGGTAAGGGGCCCCCAGAGCGGCAGGGCTGAGGCAGCACAGGAGGTCTTCACTGAGAACCTCAAGGCAGGTGGGGCTGGGTGGCCAGGAGAGGACACAGTGCCAGGGGGATGGTTGGCCCCTTGAAGGAAGCTGGGCAGGGGTGAGGCCTTCCCAGCCAGGGCCTCTGAATTCTGCACATGGCTCCTGGCTCCTGTGCAAATGAGGCTCCTTGGCTGCTGTTGTCCCTGATTAAAGAGAGTTATAGGGAAGCTCCATCCCTGGGTCCTGTGGCTGAGCCAAAGGCACCCGTTGGGGGTGAGCTGGGAGGCTGCTGGGGTGTGCAGGTGTGTGAGGAGAGGTGCACAGGCTGCAGGGCCATGGGGGTCAGCAGGACTCAGAGCAGCACACAGGGCTGGACGTGGACAGTCCGCTAGATACGCAGACTTCTCTCTGTGCCCTGAGATGGATGGGGGCACTGAGTGGGGCCCCAGATGGGGAGAGGGTTTGGAACTTGCTGAGTCAGATGCTGGAGAGAGGGGTTGGGCAGGGTCAGCACTGGATCAGCAGCGACTCTCACAGAGGAGGGAAGGGCCTGGGAGGCAGGATTCCCCCATCCCTGCCTCGAGCGGGGGGAGGGGAATTAGAGGATTTCCCACTGGCCACTTCCGATTTTTGTGAAGCAGGTGAGGATGGCCCCCTAAGAGTACAGGCTGTCAGGAGGGCAACAAGGACAAACAGCCACTGTGAGGTAGGGGTAGGGGCCAGGTCCTGATGGCACGCTGGGTGCTGGTCACCCCTGGGAGGCCGGGTCTGCACAGTGGGGAGGGGAAGCTGATGCCAGGGTCCAGCCAGGGCTCCAAGCCTGGGGCCTGAGTCCTGGCCAGCGAACCAAAGGGGTTCGAGGTATTAGTGCTGGGAGTCTTGATGAAGGGCAGGACTGAGGACCAGCAGGCCAAAGAGAGGAGAAGGTCAAGGGTGAGGGCCAGGGTGCCATATGGACAGCCCCTGTGGACTTCAAAGTCACCCAAGAGAATGGCAGGAGTCAGCCGAGGAGGCGTAGCCAGGAGCCAAGAGCCAGCATAGCCAGGGATAGGGGGACATCCAGGAGGAGGAGGCCGCATGGGCCTCAAAGAGAACAGGGCAGAGGGTGACCAGCAGACGAGTCGGACACTGGAGAGTCTCACCCCACCCTTCCCAAAAGGTCCGGTCTGCCCGTGCGGGCAGCCGGCTGCACTCGGGGGTGTGCTCCCAAGAACCTGCCAGAGTGGACGAGGGTGTGCCGTGGACAGAGGGGCAGGTATCTGGCCTTCCTGGTGCTCTCTGGAAGTCTGTGCCTGGACGCTTCCCACAGCAGAAAAGACCACCAAGTCAGGCATTTGGCGGTCTTGACCATGAGCTTGACCTTGACCATGCCTGAGGTCAGAGCCAGGCCGGCCAGCTCACACTCCCAGTCCCGGTGAGGGAGGCCCAGTGAGATCTTAGAGGCAAGAACAGCTCGCTCCAACACCTCCCGCTCTGCCAGAGGCTGTCCTGCTCCAGCCCCTCCCCACATCAGGGCCAACAATTAACCCCTGAAGTCTGGAGAAGGTCATGTGGGAGGAAGTGCTGTCTGTCCTGGAACTTGGCTGTGAGTGTGGTTTTGCCAGCATCATTTGCAGCCAGCTTCCACTCTGGGGACAACTGGCTTGCCCCATATCTGGCTGTGGCCTGGGTCTGGGGACCAGGTCTGCTCCCTGGGTTACCACAGAAGGACACAGTCCTCGCTGCCAGCCCACCTAACCCAGTACGGCCCTGGCCTCCACGCCCTGCCCTGGCATGGTTGATACCCGCAGCCCTGTTATTTATCTGGCCCCAGGCTCTCTGTAAACAGTTTTCATTGACTTAACGCAGGAGGCTTGCAGAAGGGACATGGGGGCCCCCCCACTAACTTTCCACTAAAAGTCACACAGTCCAAAGGTGCCTTTAAAAAGGAGTTTTAGGGACAGGTACGGTGGCTTATGCCTGTAATCCCAGCACTTTGGGAGGCGAAGGTGGGCAGATCACTCGAGCCCCAGAGTTCAAGACCAGCCTGGGAAACATAGGGAGGTCCCCGGCTCCACAAAAAGAAAAACACAACTTTAAAAATTAGCCAGGGCTGGGCATGGTGGCTCACATCTGTAATCCCAGCACTTGGGGAGGCTGAGGGAGGGTGGATCACAAGGTCAGGAGTTCAAGACCAGCCTGGCCCACATGGTGAAACTCCGTCTCTACTAAAAATACAAAAATTAGCCAGGCGTGGTGGCAGGTGCCTGTAATCCCAGCTACTCCAGAGGCTGAGGCAGGAGAATCACTTGAACCTGGGAGGCAGAGGTTGCAGTGAGCCGAGATCAAACCACTGAACTTCAGCCTGGGCGATAGAGTGAGACTCCATCTAGTGAGACTCCATCTCAAAAAAACAAAAACAAAAAAACGAAACAAAACAAACAAAAAAACAATTAGCTGAGTGGCTGAGTGTGGTGGTGTGCACCTGTGGCCCAGCTGGGAGGCTGAAGTAGGAGGATCACATGAGCCCAGGAGGTCAAGGTTGCAGTGAGCCAAGACTGCACCATTGCACTCCAGCCTGGGTAACAGAGATTCCGTCTTGAAAAAAAAAAGTGGCGGGGGGGGGGGGAAGGAGAGGGACCTGTGTCCAGGTGGTACCTGCCCCGCACTGTCTGGCTGTCAGCTAGAAATGGCAGAAAGCTCAGTGGCACTGATTCTCACCCCCATCGAGGCCAGCACAGTGCTGAGAACACAGAGCCACTCCCTGGCCTCCTTGGAAGGAGGAAGTCAAGAACAGCCCTTCCAGGCAGGCAATCTGCCCTATGCTGCAGGCGGCAGCCACAGCCCCTTCTCTGAGCTGGGCAGGTGGTGCTGGCCAGGGGGGCACAAGGGCACCCTCCACAGCCGCTGGGAAGACAAGGATGTCAGGCTGGAGAGGTTGACCCATACAGTCAGCTGCCTGAGGGCTCACTAGGACCTCAAGCCAGGAATCCTCCGTCCTGCTGAGGGCGCGGGAGGCGGGGGGTGCCAAGAACCGGAAAGCTTTGGGCAGCCTGAGCAGCTTCCTCCCACCACTCTGCACTCCCTGAGCCCAGCAGGCTGCTTCCTGTGAACTTTCTAGAGCAAATCGCCCCTGTGCAGAAGCAGCATCCACGGCTGAGCAAACAGGTGGTCACATGGCCCCTGATTCAGAAAAGGGAACTGTGCCGGGGCCAGGCCAGGAGAGCAGCAAGCTGGAGAGGACACTCGAGTGTGGGTGCCACCTCTCCAGCTCTGTTCTCGCCTGGCCCAGCCTCCGTGATGTGGCTGCAGGAGGGAGGGCTCTTGCCCCCGCAGAGGGCTAGGAAAAGGCGTGGGCGTGGCAGCCTTGACCCACAGGCCCCTCCAGAATCCTTGGCGCTACCCAGTAAGGGCCTGCAAAGGAAGTTGCCAGAGCTGTGGCAAGGGCTCTTTTTGAAACATCGAGCCCGGGAGGGACGCAGTGAAGGCGGAGCCACTCAAACCACCAGTGAGGAGGCCCCGAAGCCCCGGGGAGCTGGCCCTGCCTGGCAGGCCTGGATGAACGTGGGTGGGGGAAGAGGAAGAGAGCAAGGGGCAGGCCCGCCCCTCTAACTGGCGCCTGGCAGGGAGACTCTCGGGCTGTGATCTGGGCTGCCAGCTTTTCCCACGCAGCCAGCGCTCCCTTCATCTGGGTGCCAATGTCCGATGGTGGCACTGCCCCTTTGGGCCTTCCTGCAACTCTTCCCAGCACTTCCAGGGTCCTCAGCCCTCATAGAGCTGGGAACTGGTGAGGCCAGAAGGTGCCACTACCTTGCCGTGGTCAGGGTAGGTACTCTGGGGACTCAGTGCGGGAGTCTGCTCTGGAACCCACAGGGCCTGAGTCTAGGCCCAGGGTCCAGCCACTTGAGGGCTCAGCCCAAGACCCAGAGCAAGGGGGTTCAGCAGTATGGGGGCTGCTCTCAGGAGCCCTGGCAGAGGCCCTCCCCAGCTGGCCAACGGCCCGCGGTCACCATCTCACCCGGTTTCTGAGGCATCACCTGCCCAGGGAGCCTCCTACCGGCAGCAGTGCTGGTGGCCAGGCAACCTGCCCAGGCCCTGCTTCTCCCCACCACCAAATGCTCTGAGCGCTGAAGCCAGCGGGGAGCTCGTCCCCAGCACACAGCTGGCACATGGTGGCAGGACCCCCCGTCCAGCTGCAGGCTCCAGCTCGTGCCCCATACCCAGCCTCCTGACTGTCTTGGCACCTGCCTGTCGGGGTCATGCACACACAGGGTGGGCCCATCTGGCGGGGGCTATGCCTCCTGACCATCCAGGACAATGCCCCTGGCCTGGGGAACACAGACCTGCCTGGAAGAGCCCCAGGAACACTGGCTGCCATAGGGCACTTGCCAGGTCCGGTCCTGGAATCTGATGGCAGGGAGGAAGGACAGGGCACTCACCTCCTTCCACCTCCCAAAAGGAATACAGGAAGCCCCAAAGTCAGAGGAGCCTGCACAGCTCAGCGCTCCCTGCCTAGCATAGTCCCACCCAGCAGCATCTCAGCTCCCTCCCCACAGCCCCACCCCGACTGCTCCCCCCCCACCCACTCCCCCGCTCCCCTCACCCCCGCCACACCTGGACCACTGGCTGTCCCCGGCCCTGTCCCTCCGGGCCTCATCTGGGGTTGGCTGCATCGGGCTTGGGGTGCTCAGACGGCGTGGGCACAGCTGTGTCCCGGGGCTGCCTCCCAGCCCGGGCCGACCCACCAGGGCAGCACCGCCCAAGTCCACGTGTCAGTCCCAGCGGCGCTTCCGTCTGGTTCTCCCAGGACTTGTCGCCCCCAGACGGCCACCAGGGCGGGCAGGCGGGGCAGGGCGGGGCATACCACTCTGGCGCCCGCCCCACCCTGCTGACGTCCCTCCCTGCTGCCCCATAGGAGCGGGGCCGACGGTCGCCCTGGCTGGTCTGACGCACCCTGGCTCAGCCCCAGCTGAAGTTAGTGTCGGAGCAGGGGGGGTTCCCAGCAGCAGGCCGCTCAGACTGGGGCTTCAGAGAAAGGCCCTGGTGGTGAGTCTGGTCCCAGAGGTGCCAGCCCATCCTTTGGACACCACAGGGAGCCATGGAGCCGTCTGTCCTCTGTCTATAAAATAGGGGGTGATGGCAGTCCCTACCTCACCGATCAAAGTCTTTTTTTTTTGGTTTTTTTTTTGAGATGGAGTCTTGTTCTGTGGCCCAGGCTGGAGTGCGGTGGTGCGATCCTGGCTCACTGCAAGCTCCGCCTCCCGGGTTCACGCCATTCTCCTGCCTCAGCCTCCTGAGTAGCGCCGCCACCAGGCCCGGCTAATTTTTCTGTATTTTTAGTAGAGACGGGGTTTCACCGTGTTAGCCAGGATGGTCTCGATCTCCTGACCTCGTGATCGCCCGCCTCGGCCTCCCAAAGTGCTGGGATTACAGGTGTGAGCCACCACGCCCAGCCAGGAATAAAGTCTTAACCAAGTGTAAAGAGAGTAAAAGTCCAGGGTGACTGACTTTTAAAATGGATCTCTCGGGGCAGGGATGGGTCCACTCCTGAGCTCTTGGACCAAGCCTGGGAGAGCTGGGCAAATCCAGCGCTGGCCAGTGTCTTCAAGCAGATGCCTGTGAGGTTGTCATTGGCCCCTGGGATCCTGGACAAAAGGTGCCCTGAGCACCTATCACAGGCCAGGCTCTGGGCTCAGGCGCAGGGGTGATGGGGTGATCACAGGCCAGGCTCTGGGCTCAGGCGCAGGGGTGATGGGGTGGGGCCCCCACTCTGCATGCTCCTGCTGCCCTGCCGAGGACGAAGCCGGCAGGGGAAGGCCTCGACCCTGTAGCCTTTCCCCAGGAGGCGGCAGGGCCTGCTCCTCAGGCGTCACCCCCACTTCCACTAGGGCCCACCTCAGTCCATCCTCCACGCAGCAGCCACCACCCAGGGGCCGAGGAAGACACACCTAAGGTGGGGCCCTGCGCTTACAACAGGACTCCTTCCCCCCACCCCCCAGCCCTCAGGTCTCCAACAGCCCAACCCACTGCACTGCAGAGCCTGCTCCCAGAGCCTAGTGCCGAACAGATTTTAAAGACACAAGCACAAGGCCATGCTTTCATCCATCCTGATGTAGGGTAGGGTGAAAAGATGGTGGCAGAGAGAGGTTTATCGCCCCAAACAGCCCTCGCCCACAGTCAGAAAGTTTGGAAACTGTCGCTGAACGTATCACTGTCAACAGCATCCTCTTTGCAGTGATTCGCTTCCATTCACTCTGTGATGGTGATTTCCTACCAAGATCTGTGATCACGCTGCAGCAGACATTTGCCATCTGGTTACCCAAAGTCCCCTTCCTCCTGGAGCTGATGTTCTGGGGCCGGTAGACAAAAATCAAAGAAGTGAAAGGGGTAGGGAAGGGGTGTTACTTCAAGTAGGTTGGGCTAAGGAGGCACCCTTGGACACCTGAGTGAAGGCTGGATGAGCTGAAGGAACGGGCCGTGCAGGGATGGGTGGGTGGGCGAAGGGTTCATCTCACAGGGACATTATAAAGCTGGGTGTTGGTGGTGGCCAGATGGAGGCTCTCCAGGCTTCTGGCTGATTCTGAGAGCTGCCCCGCACCCAAGCACCTTTGAGGCCTAAGGTGAAAAATTACATACGGACAGTAGACAGTCAACACCTGGGTTTTCAAGGACAGTGGGTGACCTTGTGGACAGGGCAGTCACAGCCAGCACCCACTGGCCTCTGCTTCTGGAGGGCTGCGTTCCTCCCTCTCGTTGGTCTGGCCCACCTAACTTCCACTTGTTTATTCAAGTGCCGCTAAGGGGAGACGATGCTAGAGTTTTTTTTTTTTAAAGCAAATTTATGCCTCACTACATACGTGGCTCCCGTTTTTCGGCCTCTGCCTACACTCACCCCTGCAGAGGCCCCAGGAGAGCCCAGCACAGCCTTTTATAAACCAAGACAAGCCAGCCCTGGGCCTGGGGCTCCTCCCTGCACCCCACTTAGCCCTGCACCCTTCCAGCCCAACTACAATTCTCAAGACAAGGAGTCCGTAAAAAGGAGACTGACAGATGACACTTTCCTCCGCCATGACTGACAGGCAGCAGCAAGAGGGGAGAACGCGGCACTGGATATCACATGCAGGAACTGCCTCAAAAGTAGGGGCACCTTTCGGGCTGAGTTAATCCTGTCAACAGCAGACTGGAATAAGACGAGGAACTGTGTGCTTGAAACCAGAAGATGGTGCTCGAAACCAGAAGATGAATTCTGTGATGACGATAAATGGACTCAGTGCAATGTGGGTGCTATACAGAGAATCATTCCTCAAGGTTCTGGAGCAGTTCATTTTTTTCAGCACCGTAAACTCACTGTTCGAATCTTACAAGCACTAGTGTTCAACATTTCTAAAACTGGAGGGCCCAGTGAGGACTGGATGGGCACACAAATCTATAAACGAGCAGGGACGAACCCTGGGCTGCTGTGACCGCCAGCACCTCTTCCCGATCCTCCAAGACGCTCTGTGGCAGAGAATCCTTGGTGACGGGTCAGCCTGCTTCACTTTCAAAGCCAGCTGGGAAAATTATCAAAGCTGTCAGTCACACACCGTGATCCACAGGAGGGAGAAAAGCTCGTCTGTGTGAGGAACGCCTGCGGATGTGTCTCCAGGAAGCAGAAGTCACAGCCAGGCAGAGACCCTGCCTGACAGGGCAGCTCAAGGCAACAGCAACTCCACCGCTTCTCCCTGGTTCCCAAGCTCATCAATTCCATCTCAAATACACAGAGACCCACACAGGAGGCACTGCTGCACCCAGCACTCTTCATCTCCAAAGTGAGCCTGTGGGGTGAGCAACTGCCTTGTTTGGGTGGACAGCCGGTGGAAGAGCCTGCAACGTGACCTGCATTTAAAAACGTGGGAAAACCTGTGGAGGAAACCCACTCACCTTCGGTTGCTACTCCTTTTGTGAATTCTTTTGGTTATAGCTGTGCCTATGGGTCTACGGGCTTCACCTGACAAATGGTCTTCTGTACTACGGACAATCTGGACCCGTAAACCTGGCCTTCCAACTAGGCGACACTGAAATGTTGCAGACAAATCAGAATGTCACTTCACTTTAAATATTCCCCACACACATGCACCAGGCTGACTGGTGGATACTGGGGTGTGAAATGAGAGAAACAGCCCCCAACGCACAGACGCGGGGACATGATTATTACCAATTAACCACAGGCTGCACTTCAGCTCCTGCGCACCAGGTGCCTCGTGCCGGTGGCTCTGTAGCACTGGCCTGTTTCTCTCCAAAGCCATTCTGTGGCTTCTGGAAAAGGCAAACAAGCTCAGGACATTGTACCTCCAAGGAGCACATCTCTTAGAAGATTCTTGCCATAGCTAGTTATACCAAAGGCCCATTCAAACCCCATGTTCTACTTTTACAGAAGTGAAAAATTACAGGCAAGGATGGCATTCCAAAATAAGGCAGAATATCCAAGACAGGAAGGTCACGTGTGCAAGGATGGTGTGAGCCTCCAGACTGTAGTGTGGGAGCTCACGCTAAAGCATTCCTGGTGACGCCCACGTCCACCAAGAACTACCGTGCTGCCTTCTGACCCGTGAGGCTAACGGACTGGCAGAACACTGTGACATGCCACTGCCACACAGGGAGGAGCAGCAGGTGAGGAGAGGCCTTCCCTGTTCTCTGATACCCAACAAACATCCAAGTGCTTGACGCCTCGCTCCATGATGCCCACTGCTCAGCTTCTGTGCACAGGCAGTTTCTGAATTTCACCTCAGGCCCTTGAAGTGGTCCGTCTGAGTCCTTTCCAAGAACCCTAAAACTGCCTTCCACTCATGAAAGCACTCATGGACCTGAAAGCATGGTAGCCACCCAGGAACAGACACCTGTGGTTATCTCCTGCCTGGGGCTCAGGCAGGCGGTGGTAGGTGTCAGGCTGACTGGTGGATACTGGGGTGTGCTGGCATATTCCCTCTGTTTTTAATATGCTTGGAAATTTTAATTAAGCAAGAAAAAAAAAGAATAATTACTTAGGCTATTCAAATCCGTTTAAAATCATGCAATGGGTAGCTCAAAAGTTCTATTTCCTTCATACCAAGGAAACTAGTTATGAAACATTAAGTGCCCCAGTCTAGACAGCAGCTGATAGGTTTCAAATTAAACACACACAAGTACAGATTCACAAACTAAAAGGCGCGGCACTGTCAGAGCGGGGGGAGAGCCAACTACAGTTCCATGAGGCGAGCTTTCTTCTGTCCTTCCATTCCAAGATACCAACTTTCAATACAAATGCATTAGTATTTGTTATTGAAATATCCTTAGGAAAAAAGAGAGCTTCCAGATAACAGTTCTGAGAAAAATGTGAAAACTTTTACTGTTACATTAAGAACAGGCAGTAGAAGCAACCTATTCTGCACTTCTCAGAAGATACTGGGGGGCACATATGCCACGCTGGAATAAAGAATACAGAATCAAACATGTACAAAGGTACCACAGCAGGTTATGGTTCATACAGGACTTTAAATGACCAATGTTGACAATACAATTTGCAAAGAATATGAGAAAAGCAATACATATTTCTGAAACAAAAACACACCTGTTATAAAAAATAACACGCATAGTATCAGAATAGAACAGTCAACAGAGCAGCAGTTACTGAAGACAGATGGCAACAGGCAGCTGCACCAACCATGGGTCTGCTGTGTGTCCACACCCGTGAGGCCCTATTGTGAACAACGCAACGTTCTCCATCAGCGGGGAAGCACACAGACCACTTGGCCACCATGCTTTCCGCCCGGTCTGTTCACACTCAGATTTAGCAGTAATAGCCCAGAAGGGAATGCAGCTCCACGCTCCCTAAGAC